AGAGATTTGCAATCAAATCCAAGATTTTTTTTTTTTTCTCCATTAGTTGAAGTGCTGGTGCACAGCCGTAGTCTTCAAAACAGTGCGGAAACTTTATATGGAGTAACCGTTCTTCTTGGGTACATTTATTTGTGTGTGAAGTTCCTTCCAAGTTATCACACCACAATCAATAGTGAAGTGCTAAGCAGGATTTGGCTGTGCTCAAAAATCGCATGCTGAAGTGAAGTGGGCTCTCTGGAGCTGACTAATAATCCCAGCAAGAATCCGTATGTCTTAGTGCTATGACGGTTTCATGATTTTCAAACCATAATTCAGGGATGTGAAGGAACAATACAAAATTCCTATCAGTAAAATATTAGAAAAGTTTGCTAACAAACTTTTGGGAGCAAGTTAGGTTACCTGTTAACCTCAATAACCTCAAATGTTATACTCGTACCTCAGAGGTAAGAATAATTCAGAACAATTAACTTGGTTTTGTGACATTTGATAATCCGTTATAAAAAGGAAAATTTTGAAAATGTTTTATAGAAGTCAGATGTTACTGTAATGCCAGATCATCAGACATGTCTCGTGATCATACTTACGCATTTACAGTTTTGTAAGAGAACCAAAACTGGTGTAATGCATACAGGATTATGGATAATCAGAACCGCAACTGGGAGATGGAGCAGTCTGATTCATTGATGAGAACGACTGGCAACAGCATAGCTGTAGCAGCTCCTGTCCCTGACTCTCTACCCACCTGGACAGTTTAGATCCTTAACATCAAGGAAGCTTAAATGGATTTTGATTTTTCTATACAATGGCAAACTGCACTTGCAGACCAGAAGTAGCTTGCTGTAGCTGCCCGACGATAACCTCTGCTGAGTTGTGAATCGGAAGCCTTATTTGAAGCCGAGGAAATAACATATTCTTTCAGTATTTTGGTGTTTAAATTCCATACTAACTTGATACAGTCAGAAGACTGTGGGGCTCAAAGTTGAACTGTGACGAAGGTATATTGGTAGGAAAAAATATGTGCTTCCCAAGACAAAGAAAACCATAGGCAGCTTTAGGATCTCACAGGAAAATGACTAGTTTTTTTCCGTTAATGCTTTCACTAATTTCAGCATCTAATTTCTTGGATCACAAGATATATTACAATTTGTAGAACAAATTGTAACAATTGTTATAAAGCGTATTGTGTTCTGTCGTGATAAAGCAAATGGAAAAACCTGTCTGAAGAAATGCTATCCTGTTTATCAGAATTTCCTATGAAAGAAATTTTCAACTCAAGGTGCCTTGTTCAAGAGATGTAGATTAGGGAGATTCATTCGTTACACCATAAATTGAGGACATCAATTTACTGTATCTAGAAAACTATTTATTAAGTATAAGATAGGTTCCTAGTTAATGAATATTAAATGAACCCTGGACGTAAAAGAGATGTTCTTAACAGCAGGCAGTTTTGTTTAAACCACTGTAAATGAAGTAGTCTTAAATATTACATTATATGGTGGGAATTGCTGTTTTAAAAGCAATTGAAAGTGATAAGAAATGTGCACATGTGCGTGCGCGCACACACACAAGAAGTTGTAATTGTCAAAGTGAATTAATTAATGCAGTTGGGATGAATGAAATGCTTTCCTTGAAGTTGTCCCCTCTTTCCAAGAACATATGTTGAACTTGTTGAAGATCCCATCCAGCCTTCAGTTTCTAAAGATGTTGTTCCCTTGTCACTGTTTCCAAAGCCAAGTGGTTCATCATTTGGTGTTAGTCTCACAGTTTTTTACCTCAATTGCTTGGCTTAAATTATATTGTGGAACTTATTACAAATATAAAGACATAAATGTGTAATTGGACACAGACATCTGCCAGTTTTCTTGTTTTCTAAAGCATATTTTAAGAAGTTTTATGAAGCATACCACTGTTTCCAAAAAAAAAAAAAAGAAAAAATTTTCCACTGCTCTTTGTTTCTAGAAATGCTATTTCTTATAAAACTCATCTTCAAATAAAGGCACAGTCGCATTTGTATTGCTGCTGAATAATACTTTGGAACCTTTTAAATTTAATAACTTTTATTTGGTCTAAAGTGTGTGTGTGCACATTCCTAAGTGTGAATGGTGTGTAACAGCCGGTAGTTTCAGTGTTGCATGTGATTTTGCAGTTCAGCGATTGTTGCTGTACGGGTGTCCACTGATCCAGAGCTTCAGCTGACTCGCTGAAGACTTCAGCCGAATACCGCAATGTAAATGGACTTTCATTGTAGCATTGGGCTGGATATTTGGGTCGACTGGAGTACTGAATTTGTGAGATTTCAACTTCGCATTGACAAAGGAGAATGAATTCACAGGCAGATGGAACATGAAGAGGTCATCTTGGATTTAGGAGATGGTTTGCCTGTATGCACTGCAGGGTTATAGAGCAGTTCATATGGTGGGTACGGGTATGGGCAAACTGTATTGGTGGGCAGTTGCAGTTGTCGGTATTGAATTTGATTACCATAGCCACAGTTTTTCATCTTCTTGTGATCTTCTATTAGGGTTCTTGAAAATAATAGTGGTTTAGCTACAGCTTCAAATCTATCCTAATGATTTTTGTCTGAGAACTTCCACAGAATTTCTGTTTTTCTAGCAACAGTTTACATTTCCCTCGGAAATTTCTAGTATAATGTTTTGGTGTGATTTTTTTGTATCTTGTTGAATCAGTTTGGTCAGGTTTATACGTATGTGAGTATGTACATATGCATATAGATATATAACAATGCTAAAAGCTTTAGGGGTCAAAATCCACCCTTTTTCTAACTGTCCAGGGGAACCATCTGGAATCACCGAGTCAGGTTTCTTGAAGACAGAGTCCTGAGCTCCTGGACATCATTCACCATTTGGAATGCTGGCAAGCAAGGCAAGAAGCTCTACAGAAGCTTGTCACCAGCTAATCAGAAAAAGGTGAGCTAGTAAGAGTTGGGTAACATCTGTACAAAACCACTTTCTTCTCTTTCATATGCCTCCTTGCTTCTTCCAACATAATGTAGGAAAATTCTCATAAGATAGTGTGTCCCCAAAGTACTAGTTGATGATTAATATAAATTGGGGAAATTCTCAGTATTCTGCATAATGTATTTCTTCTTTTCAAATGATATATTACATTATTTATAGCGTACGGTGTGTATGTAGTGCAACATACGCACCTATGTTCCTGCTTGCTGATGACTAAGCACGATAAGAGGTTAGACACACTACATAACTGTTTATGGCCTGCTACTGCGTAACTAACCACTGTAGTAGCCAGGTACCCTGGGTAAGTAGAATAACTCTTTATTTGGATGGTGTAAAACTAAACTATCTTGTCCAGGATTGTTCATACATGTGTAATATTTGCCCAGTTCCTAAGTGGATACTGGACAGGTCCCTATCAGATGCTGAGCAACCTGGTTTGTATTATGAGGAGTAGTTGCACTGTAACTCCCTTTTGAAAAGCTTGATTGTTTAAAAATAGGGGGAGGGTGCGAGGTGAACAGGCGAGTAGAAACTATTGTACATGACTATCTAATTCAATTTACAGTCAGTTGAAAATGTGGAGGTTACTTATATTTGGCAATGGCAGATGTTTCTCAGGAGAGATTTGTCTGAGAGTTTAAATACCTTACTTTTATAGCATTTTCTTTTGTGTAATAACTTTTTGTTAGATAAAGACTTTAGGGCTAATGTCAAATGGCTGTTTCTTATAAAGAACCACAGAACATTCATTTTATTACCAAATGTGTTTTCTTTTCTTAAAAATATGGATGGGAAGACAAAATGACAAATACATATATAAACCTGATTAATGCAGTGGTCCTCAGACCACACACACATAAAAAAATAGAAGAAATTTGTATACCCATAGTCAAAATTACTGAATAGACATGGGAGACACTCACACAGTAAATATACAACACAAGAATTGAACCTGAATTTGGTACTCCAATGCCATCCCTCTTTCATTGCCATCATGCGGCAGTGGGTGAACTGTATGAAGAAAGAAGATTAAATGCTATGTGTCTCCAATCAGTTACTTCATTCCCACAGGACAGAACCATCCATTAAATGTATTGAGTTATCTTGGTCATGCAGTGCATTGTGCACGTGACTTTGGGGGGTTTATGAAAATGTTCTCTTTCATTAGTATTTTGCAGAGCACTTTGTGAATTTCTCTAACTTACAAGCAACCATTGCACTTTTCTGTCTACAAAATTATGAGAACTAGGAAATAAGTTCCAAGGGAAGAGATGGCAGCTTGTCTGGTAGTACTGTGCAAGCAGGGATTTTTGAGATGTTACGGAAAAAATAGACTATGTTCTTTTTGTAGCAGTGTCTCGCCATCTTAGGTGTTGGATTTTTTTTTTTGCTTTGGTTTGGTTTGGTTTTTAGCTTTTTTTGTGCCAAGCCAAAATGGAGACTGAGATTAAGATAGAACACCTCTCTAGCTTTGGGTTACATTTGCCACCTACTTCTATAGGTGACTCATTCAGGACTTCGCATCCTGTTCAGCAAACACAATGATAATTTGAAGATGTCACTGCAGAGGTGATAAAAAGGGCAAGAGAAAAATAATATTGGTCGGGTTTTGCCATTTTTCTGCCAAAGAACCAAAGCTTTACCTCGTCGTCGGTAAGGAACAACCTTCATTCCCCAGTATGCTAGCGCTGGCCGTGTGGTTCTAATTAACTGGATCTTGACGTTCTTTCCAGCTGACCTTTACATAACGTTTGCTTTGGCAGTGCTGCAGGCCGTGATACTATTTTGCTTCTGTCAAGGCTACAATTGCACATATTCCAGTATGCTTTAGTATGATACTGAAATATTGCATTGAGTGTTAACCCATTAATTACTGGATACTATACCAGACACATTTAGCAAGCTTACATGCCAGATGCAATTGCACATGCCAAGTATGACTCATTTTGCAAATGTACTGCAGAAAACTACTGCTAAAATGCAGTCACAGTCTGATCCTTAAGACCTTATATAGAGTAATCAAACTTTATCCACTAAGCCTGACATGTTATCTGAAGTATTCAGAGGTTTTCTCAATAACCAACAAAGATAAATAGCTTCAGAAAGTGACTTGTATCATCCTAAACGAGAGTAGAAGCCTAGCTTTTAGATAGTTAATTTCTGATTAAATTAGTGTTATCTGTGGTGATTAAAGCACTAGTTTTATGTAGTTGTTCAGGCTCGCTATGATTGCCATTGTAACTTCCTAGCTTTTCCAAAAGTGGGATCCCAAGTCCTATCCATCTCAGTCAGAACTGAAGCTTAAATGATATCCTAATGTTTCATAGTAAGTCATTGGCAAAAGGCTGTAGAAGTAGTTAAAACATCTCACTTCTCCAAGTGGTAATCAAAGGATTATGCTGCTGGAATTTCAGGAAATAAATTCATAAAATTTGCAGTAGGTAATTCATGGCAGTCTTGATTTTATTCTAAATTAATAACAGTAAAAGGAGGCTAGTTAAACTCCATGTTATACTTTTCCTCAAAAATCCTTCAGGTATTTTGTGGCTAATCTACAACTCTTGCCAAAGACTCTAAAATCCCATATGAACAAAGGCTGTAAATAGTTGTTGCTTTGTCCTTTCCAGCCCTAAAAACAATAAAATACTTTCCCTGTCTCACCCTTTAAAGACTACCTTAACAAGATTTAAGCTTTCACATGTTCTGTTAATTACGAGAACACTAGAGATTCAGTATCATTTTGAATCTACAAGTAGAATCTAGTGTTGTCTTGTAAACAGAGGCCCTGGGATATGAATTCATCAATTATGTAAAATAGACACCTTTAAAATACAATTCCAAAAGCCCCTTAAGATAAAATATGATGTATTACATCAATACAATTACCTTTTTCTGCTCTGAAGGTCCAGTTGTGTAAAACAGTATGATCTTAAAAGGTCTAATACCCTTTGAAATGAAAGTAAAATTGCCAACATAGGCTGTATAATTTAACTAAGCTTTACAATTTAACTATCTGAATTTAATTTCAGTTGTTTTTATACTTTAAGTCAGTTTAGACTCTCTTGAAAATTTCACCTACGCTCTGTTTCACTGTTGCTGCATCCTTTTATTGAGATTCAGAATTGTATTAGATGTCATGAGACTGATTTCCGTCAGAATGTGGAATCAGAGCAGGGTTGTTTTCTAAATTGGTGCTAAGTACCTGTAGAAAATTTGGGACACATACTCATAGAATAAATAACACCCCCGCCAAACCTATTACATACAGCCTGTGTTATAAAGAATGTTTCTAGTATTTTTAGAACCTGATAAACGAAGCAATTTATTTCTTACACTGACTAGTTTTTTGTGGGATGTTTGAAAAGTGTAAGTACGTTGCATGCTGAACAGCATTGTTTCTTAGAAAACAGAATTTTGGCAATTCCAGGAAACAGCAGTCTGTGTATGCTCATACTCACTAACAAATTATTACTTTAGTCTGGAAAACAGTCTGCATTTGAATTATGGCTATGTTAAAAGAGAAAAAGACACCTAAGCAATAGTCTCTCTTTTTCTTCAGACATCTGTATGGCGAATATTAAAATAATGCTTTGTCTCCAAAGAGTTCAGGCAAAAATCCAAGGCTCAGTATTTTTGCTAAACAGCAACACAAGAAAAAAATTATTCAACTTGTAGGTTTTTTATGAATTAATTACCAGGATCTCAGTATTCTTAGGGAAATTCTGTTTCCTGGCTGTCCCCTTCTTGATTCACGCAGTTGACAGTGGTTCAGTATTAGCATTTCTGCAAGAATGAAGTCGAACAGACCTTTTTTTGTTTAAAACACATCCGTCTTGTCTATAATTTGCAGCTGAGGATGGAAACCAAATGTTTTTGGGATGCTACATATGCCTGGAGGGTTTCTGAGCTGTCTTGTCTGCTCTTTTATTCTCCATCAAACTTTAACTAAAAGGAGAACTGCAGCATTAACATTTTATGTCATTTCCGATAGCTGAAAATAGTGCTCAAGTAGCTAACAGAAAAGGAGGGGGAAAGGACGAAATAAGCATCAGCTAATTAGTAGCATGGAAACAGTACTAGTACACAGCCAGCCCATGAATTTTCTCTATGACAACCCTATCTGCCAGTGGCAAGCTTGAAAGCTTCAACGAAGTATTTTGTACACCCTTTTTCCTAGCTCATTAACCATTTAAAATCATCTGTTTGTTTCTCTTCACCTTTTTCTACGAGCAACATCACTAAACCATGTACTTCAACTATGATCCTTCAGCTCACTCACAAAAGCAAGAAATGTTTAAGTTTTGTAGCATTTTAACGACTCTAAAGTATATGAATGGCAGTATGAGAGACTGAAGTGGGGACATGTAAAAGCAGAGAGACATAAATAAAGGGAACAATATTACACCCACCTTGACTGTGGAGCGAAAGACAGAATGACAACGTGAAAGCGAGTTGAAAGAGAGCCTACAGAACAAGACAAGAGAGATGAGATTTGAAAGCTTCAGTTAAATCCAGATATAAAGCATCCTAAAATGGCACGGGGTAAAATAGAGGCTTCATTTTGGACTATAGCGAATACTTCATGCTGAAATATGGCAGGGAGATCTCCCTGCTGCTTCCATTCGGGAAGATGTGCTTTTTGCAATGTCTGTTTTGTCAGTACAGAGGCATGCACACTGGAAAAGTTACTGGCATAACTATTGTAGTTACCTGTTCTAGAGGAATGAGACACGCAGCTAGTCCCCACGCTTACATATAAAGGCAGTTGTATGTTGTATGTAATAAAGGAAATTTTGCGTGTACAATATTTAGAAGCTTATTTTGCATGTTGGATTCTGGTATTAAAATTCTCTGGAGCAACTTCATTATGTATATGTGCAAAGAGGGAAGATGCTGCTGTCTTCAATGGAATAGTGTCTTTAAATGGAGTCATGAAATGTGTGCTTGGAATTTAAAGATACCCACAGCTTCTGTCATGGCTGTAACGCTAAAGAGGTGAAATAAAAGCGGCACCTGATACTGAAAATCACTCAGATTGTGACGGGGGGTTGCTTGCTAGTTTCATGGTTCCGCTTGTGGTGTACTGGAAGATGTTTATGCCTCTGCGTGTCTCTTGTTCTGTTTGTCATTAACTGTATCTATTTAAATTTGCATTATAATGCTTTCAGTTACTTTGTTTTGACACGAATGGCCAAAATTGATTTAACTTTTGCGGAGATGTATATTAACATGCATCCAAGGCTTTATACAAGTTTGAATGAAAGAATTATAAACAGAAGAACCAAGAGGGTCACTAGAAGTTTAAAATGGATCAAGGATTGCATGAGATGTGGAGAGAATGCAATAGGGAAGATCTGCTCATACAGGATTTTGTAGAGTTTGCAGGTTGTCTTCTTTAAAGATAAATTTTATGAGACCAATTGATGTAATGAGGAGGGAGACGAGACAATGTGCAGGTGACGATTTATCAAAAGGGTTGTCCATTTTTTCTGTCACGCTCTATAAGTTATTCACTTTCCCTTCTAAAACTTGCCTCTCGTATCCTTCCGGCTAGAACAGATCTTGAGAATTTGCTGTGGTTACCTTTTGTTGCTTTCTGTAAATGATTATTGCAGACCTAAAGCAGACCACAGGTGAAAATAAGATGAGGGAATAAAATCCTATGAAGATCATTTCACCATAAAAGGACATTATTAAGCTGATGAAATCTTCCAGTTTTTCCATTAGGAAATCTGAGTGGAATGGGAAGTGTAAGGAAGCATCCTCTGCAGTAGCCAACAAAGCAGTAAACAAGTCAAGTATGAAACAAACTGTTAATTCTTGTGTAATAGTAGCACAGCTCAAAGAGCTAAATAATTACAGTTGCACCCCAAGCCCACTCTTACTGTCGTCTTAGATTGTACATTTGGAGTAGGATGAATCTGCTGCCCATTAATCTCCTTTTACCACAGGGAGGTCTGATAGTCCCAGCCTGTGTGTCCCTTCACACAGCTGCTGTGTTTATTAAAAAGAACCAGCCAGAGAAGTGCTTTTATCTTCCTCAAACGTGTCTTCCCCTAGCAGAGAGGGTTTTTTTTTAGTAAATATCTTCTCTTTTGAGCCATATAAACTTGCTCTTATGAGGGAGAAAATTATTTCTCCTTTTTCCTTTACACTGCTGTTAATGTATGTTGCAATCGATATTTGTAAAAATTACTTACAGTAATTATGTAGCTTGTATATAACAGAGCTCTAGCTGTTTCTTCCAGTTTTTAGCAGAGAGAAATAGCTGCCTTTTTTTTTGTTTTGGAATTGTGCAAATTTTCATACAAGTGATGTTCGAAACAAAAATATGTAGTCATTTATATATTTTCTTAAAACTGAAGTGTGATCTGAGGACTCTGTAAGCTTCAGTGGTTTCATATTGTCAGGGGCGTTGCAAAAGCCATTTTGCTGGGGGGGAGGGAACAATGTGAGACTGCTTTATAGCTTTATAATTCATAGGTTCCTCCCTGGGAGACGGTAGTTCATGTGTGGATAGATGGTCTTCATAAAAGATAATGAGAAAGAAGCCCATTAATGCAGGAAAATAAATAGGTAACTCTGGGTTTATCCTAATAGTATAAAGTAAATAGCTCATTTAAGCCTGATGCCTTGAGTTCTCCTTATAGGATAAACAACTGTGCGTAAGTCCTGTATTTAGACTCCAGCCATAGATTTTCTTTAATTGGAAAATAAATAGTGTGTGTCAGAAAAATAGTTGACTTACATTTTGGCCACCCACATGGTGTACAGTCTGGCAGAAAAATTGCCCACTCAAGTCTGACCTGTTTTATAATACTATAAATATCACATTTAAGCTGGCTGAATCCATTGAAAATTATACTTAGAGATACCTTAGTGGTAACTCAAAAAAAGGTTAGAGTCATTTCCATCTTCCAAGGGAAATTTGTCACAGCCTTACCTGTCAAGTTTGTTTTTTTTCACGCAGCTGCTGTTACCAGGAGTTCCGTGTGCTGGGTCGTCTGCGGGTGGTTAGTACGGCAAAGACAGTTTGCAGAATGTTCTACGTGTGGTAGTATGAGTTATGGCACAGGATGAGAGGAAGTATTATGGTTATTGGTAATCTAGTGATACAAGAACTATCTTTGGTTCTCTAACACCATTCATGTTAAGAAGAAGTCTGTGCACCAGCCAGGGGTTTCTATTAACTGGATTATAACATGCTGAAGGTGAACAGTGTGATACTTCCCAGCACGGATCTTACAGCTGAATTCTCGGTTACTGACACTGAAGTGTAGATAGAACTTCACTTTACCTTATGTCAAAAGTTTTGGTGTTTTGTTTTAGTTTTTAAAATCTATAGAGTATAAGCAGCTGAAAAAATAGCTTCAATTATTGGAAGATAAGTCAATGTATTGGACTGTATTTATTCCCAAAACACTGTTGGGTTGACAGTGAAGACGTATCCTGCTAAATTTTGTTTATAATGATCACAGCTTGTAGGACAGTAAAACATTAGTGGTGGAACTGAGATTCAGAATATTTGAGAATTGTAAAGGTGGTTAACACAGAATGAAAAGTATACAGCTAAGTAACCTCTCTTTCCACAGTGGCTTCTACTTGCTTCCCTTCACATATATGCATAATTAGGGGGGGGGGGTGGTGTATGTATGTACACATATATAAGAGGGGTAGAGGAAATTTTGGGATGTAGTTTACTGTGCTCAGTCCACACCATCTGATTTTTCACCTACAATAAAGCATTACAGTGGGCATGGAAATAGGGCCACAGAGGTAAAGTGTATTATCTTGCGTTTAAGAGACAAAAGAAAGCCTAAGAAAGATCCTTGTTCTTAGTCTTCGTGCTTGGAGTTGCTTGTGTTTGCTACTGTCTAACCCAGCCTGCATCAGCCACAAAGACCTTGTATAATGTCTAGTAACTTCCTGGGACTGCCCTGAATTCCCTCCTTTCTGTCTATTTCCATTATAAGGCCTGAAACAGGGGGAAGGGTCCTTAGTGCGATCCCTGCATCAGGAACGTCCAAAGCAAAAGTCTGGATCAGCTGGCCTGTAATGCGATTCCTTTAGTCATACAGCCCCAAAGTGAAAATTTAATGTTTCCTTAATGTTCTGGTCTTTATTTCTTTTGGTGCCTGTTTTCAAGCAACCTATTTTCCAGGTATGAATGTCTACCGCAAAGTGGTTCCAAGGAGGTTGGAACCTGCCCACCCCCTCCAGTTTATTAGCTGTATTTTCCACAGTGACCTTGTGTGCTGGTGGTGGTGTTTAGCCATATTTGTAGTCCCTTGATGTTTTTGTTTGTATTCTCTTTCCATTGATGTTTATGGAAGAACTGAGATTATGGTATTTAAGGATTTGGATAGAAAACTGTTTCATTGGAGAATGGAAATATCTCTGAAGTATTTTTGACGTAAAAACACCTTTTATGTTTCAAGAGAATGCAGCTCTATCTGGCCGTTGCCTGTAAACACACATCTAACACCATTCTGTTCCTCTGGAGTTTTGCCCTTGGGCTGTAAAGGTGGCACGCTGCATCGCGAGTGAGGTAGCAATAAAGGACGCAAAAGTTTAGCATTATGACACCAGTGCTCTTGTGTCAGTTTTTTCCTCTGCACACACAGAATGAGGTCACTTTAGGTAAAAGAAAACTCTCTTAATCACAAGAGGAAAACGTGTGAGAGAGATTTGTAGACGCAGAAAGCAAGCCAGCCTTTTGCAGCCTTCTCTAACTTAATAAATTAATAAACAGCTGTTTGGCTTTTCAAATTTTCTCAGCAGTAAGTGTTGTTAATCAATTTTTAATGCAGCAATTAAAAGGCTAGGAAAACCGCTATCCAGCTTTCACCAGAATAATTGATTTCTGCAAGACCTTAACTATCTTAACTGTTCTGCTTCAGTGTAAGAGTTCTGTGTAGATAACACAAATAGATCCAATGGAAGTCAGAGGAAAACGTAGCTATGTTTATTTTAAAAAGTCTTCCCAAATGTTAGTGGCAACCTAATGGTTCAAAAATGAGGCCACTGTGTATTTTGGACTGCAGGTATTTAATCTGCCTGCGTATTTATGAGGAATGCAAATTAAAAAAATCTGAAATATTTGGCAACTAGGGCTGCAAATAATGCGTCCATAACTACAGTAAGAATAACCAAAACGAAGCAGTAATCGTAAGTGTTTAAACACCAAATCTGCTGAACATTTCCATTGAAAAATACAAAGTCCAAACCCATAGAAATTCCCAACCTTGGTGTGTTATGACCTAGAATTGAGGCTGGTATTACCAGAGCATCCAAAGCAACAGTGCAGCACTGTTATACTGAGGTATCTGGTGGGAGATTATAAGCTTGTGGTGGGCAGAACGAGGATGGTTTGTATTATCTAATCTTAGGTGTTTAGTGGAAGTGCCAAAATGAGGAGGCTAGTCTCTGTTTTTAGTTTACTTAGCATATCGCTGAGGATGAAGTTGATGATCTCATAGATGTTGTTTCATGCAGTCAGTAGCTTAGATCACCTGTTCCCACGTTCATAAAAACATAATGTGCTCATAGACAACTACAAAATTTGCCCATCTCCTTAAGATACACCCAGAAAGGATTTAGTAAATTTTTAAGCTCCATAGGAGGACCAGGGTGCGTTGCCCTATTCCCGTGTTCATTCACATGCCTGTAGCGTTACTTACATAGATACGCTACGGGTGAAATATCTGCTGGTACCAAAGAATGGTATTGAAATGCTCTGCTTCTCTTTTGCCAGGTAACTGCGTTTTGTGATGTTGATGAAAAGAAAATAACAAAAGGATTCTACACCTATGAAGAATCTGAGGTTAGTTATAAGTACTCTTGCATTCTTTACTGTGATCTAGAAGTGTTCTGGGAAATGCGATGAAAGAATACATCACTGATTTTAAATACTGTATAGCAACTCATTTTGATGAGGAGGCCGTGACAGAAGACTAGATAGCTGGGGATTGATCCTGGAATGTGAACCATGGAGCCAGAACTACGGACCTCACACTCACTGAAGTCAGTTTAGAAAGACAAAAATATATATACTCTGGAAGGATTCTGATGATGGGGTAAAACAGTGCCTTCACTGACACTTTTCTTTTAAGTGGGAGTAGAATTTGGCTCATGATGGATAAAAGTCAAATATCTATTAAAATTAAAAAAGCTTCTGTGATTAATTGTAACCTGTCTGTATATTATACCGTATCTGAACAAAACTGATAGGTTCGTTTGGAGCCTAAAATTGAAAGCGGCAACATTTTATTCCCTAGACAGGGAAGCATAGTATTTAGATAGCGATAAACAATCCATATAGAAAGAAAAATGTTGTCGCAGTATTAATTTCACGATAGCAATTAGCTCAAGACCAGGAGTAAAGCTTCATCCAGATTCAGTCCCTACAACAGTTGGTGAAAAGACCGTTCTTAGTTTCACTGGGCATTGGATCAGATCCTGTGAGCGCAGTCTTCCGAGAGTGCAATTTGACATTACAGCTTAGCCAGTCTAACTGCAGGGGTGGTCTGACTGCGCTCGCTGGCCTCAGCCACGCACTCCCACTGCTTTGTTTATAATGGGTCTAGCAATCTTGTGGCTAAAGGATGACTTGATTCAGTTAGCTGATCTGGCAGAAAAGGAACCCTCAAAATAAAAGGTTTTCCAGCAAGTTATCTTGTGAATCAAATTACCCTGAGGTTGCGTGTTCCTTGTATCTGACGGAGTAGGACTGAGGGAGGGGTAGAGGGAGAGGAGGGGCACCTCCTCAGATACAGCTTGTGGTTAGACTAGGGTGACTGTAAAATCAAATTCTATACTGGGAAGATGAGTGCTTTCAGCCGCATGAAAGCAATCGGAGTTCAGGATTTTGACCTGGAATACCGAGGACTCACTAACTACCAGTGCAGTAATACTGTCAGCATATTTGTTACAGATCCTGTGCATTTGTCTTCCTGAGACATACCCATCCTCTCAGATCAGTTGTAAAGAAGATTGTACTGCAACCTGTTGTGAATCCTTAGAAAGTCCTGCAGCTTGGATCCATGGTGAAGTCCCAGCTGAGCATAAGCCATGTAACAGCTCCTACTGAGAGGGAAAGATTCTCCTTTGTATCCACTATTGTGCCTGCTCTGATGCTTCTCTGATGGCACAGTAAGCTGATGCAGCTCACTAAAGTGGCAGAAAATTAACCTGCCAAAAAAAGAAGGAACATATTTTTAATGGGGTAGGCTACTAAAGCAGCATACCTTGCAATCGGATCAAAGAGGGAATTGTTTGGGAAAGGGCTAAAAGCAGAGCTTGGAGGTAAGGAAGAAGCAGTGGAGGAGAGGAGTGAGACCTTCTCCTTTCAACAGCAGAAAGCTCTTCATTCAGATCTGGTGTAACGTGTAACTTCGTTCGAAGAAACACAATTGTATTGAAAGATTATGGTAAGAAAATAAGGGGTACTTGAAATGACTGGCAAAATAATGAGCGGAAGCATGTGACCAGCTGGACTATTTAGCATGAGGTCTCAAAGTAATTTTTTCCCCTTTTAGTGTTAGTAGCTCCTAAAACTAAGCTAACAAGTAATCCTGTGTGCCTCTCTACTGAAGTCATCTGCTTTTTCCTGCAGGAGAGACCAAAACCAAAAATTCCTATATGTCACTTCAAAGACGCAACTCCACCTTTCATTATCTGCGTGAAGCTGGTGAGTACCACCTTTAGCCTTAGCTTTATGTGCAAAATCAGTCTTTGCTCCTTATGAACATGAATTTCTATTTACTGGAAGTAGCTTTTCCCAGAAGCTTCTACTATGCAGCTGAATGGCCTTTTTTATCAAATTGATTGTGCAGAGTATTTCAGGGATTTAAAACAGCAGTGTTAAGTAAAGTAGTATTAAGAATAATAAAAGGTACAGCTTCTGTAAAGGAGCTTGGATCTGTTTTACTTCCTTGCCCAACATTATATACACAAATGAGCATATACAGTCAGCCACCTGGCCTCGCGTATTCCTAATACTGCGCAGCCCTATGTGTGTGTCCTGGCTTCGGTTGGGATAGAGTTAATTTTCTTCCTAGTTGCCTCAGTTGCTGACTGAGGTTAAACCACCAGAATGGCAAAGGCTTGTTTTTTAATTCAGACCTTACACGCCATTTTGTTTGGCACTGCCAATTCTGAAGCCTCTTTTGTGCCTGACTGTGGCAACTTTCTTATTTCAGCTGGTTTAATTGACCTAATAACATAACTAGAAGACGATAACCAGTTATTTTGCTGTTATATTTACAATAGCAAAGCACAGTGGGATAACACAGAAGTTTTAAAGTAAAATAGCAAACACATTCTAGTTGCAAATGCTAGAAAAGAAGTCTCTAACAGTAACTAAAACCTGTAGCTACATATAAACACTGACATTCTAATGCTGTACTAGATCTGTTCAAAGATTGATTAGCCAAATCTCATCACATCTGGTACAGTCTGCTTTTAACTTAGCACTCCCAACTTTACGATCAACTCTGAGATCATAACTATGAGTTGTAAAGAAAGACGGAAAGTACCTTAGGGCATTATCATGTACTGTTGGTTGATAAGCTCTTGGATAAGCTAGTAATATTACAACTAATTTAATTTTTCATACTACATATAATGGTGGGTGGAAGTCCCTAGACAAAACATCTGTGCAACCTGTTATAAAGCACGTTTAATTTGCGAAGCCCTTACAATGAGACTATTATACATCTTGCCTGAAAACTCTGGTCCGTGACTTCAGTTGTGATTTCAGTCTATTTTTCCGCTCACGGCCACTGAGCATTTTCTACTTGCTGATCACAGGACAGTATAGGCCATAGTATATCGTTTAAGTAATACGCAGCGTTTTCTTTGGAAATACAGTCTGACCTACTTGAAACAGTTTCAGAGTTTGTAAAGTTGCTTCTAAAATCTGTCTTTGAAGCAGCTCACTTTTTAGGAGAATGTAAGAAAGTCAGTGGCCTTTCGTATGGAGCCAGACCTCTAGAAACTGCAGGCAAGTCACCTCCTTACCCCTCTCACTTCATGATTGAATTACACAGTTGGCTACTGTGGAAGCTGGTGTTATGAGAGCTGATGGCAAAAACACCCTAGTGCCGAGGTAAAGGAAGATCAATGCGCACGGAGTTCCAGCAGCATTATACACTGGGAAAACAAAAGAGTGGCCAAACAGTCAAGAACAATGCTGGTAATAAACCTGCGTAACAACATAATAAAAGTCCATAATGGAGCTTACCTTTCTACAGATTTTAAACATACTGATACCTGTTAATAATACGAACCTCACGGTACACCTGTGTCATTATACCATATTATTATTTTAATATTACGAAGACAGAGAATCAGGTTGTTAGAAAAACAAATTTATAGTGAAGAACTGAAACCAAATTTTTCTGTTAGCGGTGCCTAATACCTTGCTATCACCTGAGAAACGACAGACAACGTAAGAAAGAAATAAAAACCATAAATATATCCGTACCAAAGTGTAGGAAGTGTAAAACCCAGTGGAGAGAGAAAAGGAATCGGAGAGTCTCAGGAAGCAAGCAGCAGTGCTCCGAGTCCCACTCCAGAACAAAGTTGTCTGGACGTTCCTTTTCTCTACCATCGGGTTTCGCAGCTGATCTTAAGGAATAGTTTTTAGCAACCTCTTTCAGCCGTTGTCATACTTGCTGTGTTTTATTACTGTTGTTAGGAGTCTTCATGGAGGCTGTCAGAACCCGTGAAATCCCACTCTTACTACTTGCAAGGTTGTGGGCGGATTGAAATGGCCACAGCTTTCAGTAGTAGTTTTGTCATGGAAAGTAGTCTTCTACCAAAACAAAACAAGTTGATAAATGTCTGTGGTTTAAAACATCGAGGTATCCTGTCTGCAGCAGCTTTCAGGCTTGTAGACCTGACCACTGAAGGTGGTGCTTTCTGTGCAGCCCCCACGTGAAGCAACAGCTAAAAACAAAACTTCCCACTTGCTTTTCTACATTTCTTCTTCCAACATGCATTTTGAAAGTGGGAGCATAGGAAAAAGCAGGATGGAGGATAAGTACATAAAATATTAAGACTGCATCAAATGAGAAATATTTTTTTTTGCAATAGCTATTGCTGCCTCTCTGACGCTATTCACCCAGATTTATCAAATCAAACTGTGCAAAAAGTGTTGCTGTTACAAGTTAAAGTCCCAGTCTGATGTGAAAGACTACAGCTGAGACAAAATTTCTCTGCAAAAGGGGTGCTATCCTTGCGCGTACTGTGGGGGCAAAAACAAAACTGCTGTGTTTGAGAGGTTACAAATGACCTGTATTTTCAAACTATTTAGGGCAAGCAGCTTTACCCAGCTCTGTGTTTCAGGTCATGCAGCGAGCAAGCATCAAAAACCCCAGCGACCATACGGACATTTCTTGTGTAGACAGCTGTCAGAGCAACAACTACAACTTAGCTCCATGTTCATGGAACTGCTGGAAGTTTACGTAAGGCAGAATTCACTGCAGATCCTCTTAGCTAATTTCTTAAACAAAAGTCACCAACAAATTCCTAAACATCCCAGACTTCCAAATTTAGCTTTATTATTTACCAATGTAAGTTCATCACCATCCTTCTGAAGAAGAAAGTGTCCTGGGGCCTTACTGTCTTTTATGTTGCTGTTCAGGGTAGGGGATTATTTTTTAGTTTTGATACAGACAGAACCTGCGTGTTTACATGCAGCTCTAAGAGGATAATTTTGAAGATTAGATATGTTTATTAAGTGGGTTGTTTGCGAGAAACAACTCCGCTGGCCATGTACTTGGAGCAGTGTTTGCTTATTTATTTTTTTAAGGCAGTTCCTGCCTTGCTAGCATTGGCGTTACTTTGTTACCATATAAAATCATTTTTGAAAAAGCAGCCATCCTATGTGAGCTTTGCTCAGTTTGCATTTGAAAATGGCTTCACAAAGGGCTGTAGCTGAAATTCTGCTCTCTGCGTGTAAGTTTTTGCTGAAGAGAATAAAATCGTGGCTTTAGCTCAAAATTGTCTAGCAGCCTGCAGTCCCACTTCACCTAAGGGTTTGCACTGTGCATTTTCTCTCGCTTTGAGGTAAAAGCAAACCGCTTAGAAATCATGTATTGTGCCCTGTTCTGGCATGGATTCCAAGTGCTTGAAATGAAAGGGATTTTCTATTTTTCTGTCTAGGTAATTAAACTAGTTTTATTGTATAAAGTTTTCAGTAAATTTACTGTTAGACCAGTTATTGTAAAACCCTGCCTTGTTCTGTCACCTCAGTCTTGTGCTCTGGGAATGAAAGATTTGTTTTTAGCTCTCCTGCTTCATTTAGCGTCTGGGCTCTTTTATTTTTTTTTTTTTTATTAACCCTTCTTTACAGCAGGTTGATTTTCCAGCAAGCTGAAACCGCAACTGTTTCGTACCCTGTGTCCTAACTTGGGAAATCTTGGGTTTATGAAATCATTAGCAGAGACTAAAGGTCGTAATCAAGGCCTACATTTCTGAGTAGAATTCCCTGTTGACGTGAGTGGTAAGTTTTGCAGATGGACCAGGGACAGTTTGGGATCTTAACTGAATTGCGAAACTAGGGCCCAGTCGTTCAAAGTATTAAATACCATCAAGTATTCTTCATTTCAAGAAGTAAAAAAAAAAAAAAAAAAGTACTCAACACCTTTCACAATCGGGGCCTTATCGCTCAGATAGGAACTGGTTAACTTAGGTAAGTGGAGCCCTTGTTTTAAAAAGCCTGGTGCCACGGGCCCTTTCCTGCCCTTCTCCAAATTATTCATTAGCTATTCTTATTTTTTTTATGGTTAGTAAACATCAGAGCTCAATTCTGAATTTTCTGACTGGTGGTTATGTTTTTTGTTGAAGTTCTGGATCAGATTATGTCATCTTTGTATTTTTTTGGCATTGCTAGTGAAAATAGAAGACCATGGCAGGTAGATGAGAATCGTATAGGAGAGAGGGGAGTTAATCTGTGCTCCAGAGGCACAGCATGCTCGTTTGGGCAAGAGGTGTGAAACGTACACATGCAGTGTTTCCTTGCCCATTTAAATTCAGGCAGCAGAAACAATGCAGAGGTTTGGAGGAGAGGGGTCAGCTTGTTTTGCTACTAGACTCCCCGATGATGGAGATGGCCGTGTTCCTTGAACGGAAGGCTTCCGAGCAACACCCAAATACCATGAGCATGTTGAGAAGCAGTTCAGCTGATGGGTCCAAGGCGAGCTGGATGTAGAGCCCTCCATGTGAGACAGAAACCTTAGTTGCTGAACTCAAGTTCATTAAAGATCCCAGAGCGATTTTTTCAATCCAGTTATTCTAGCCAAAGCCTGGCGTTCCACCTCCTTTAATTCCACAGTTTCACTTGGGCCATTTTTGTACCTTCCTGTCCTAAACACCTGCCAGTACTGGTGTGCGTTGCTAAAACTTCAATGCTGCTGCTCTGGGCCAACCAAAAGAGCGCTAGCGATCTCTTTACCTACCGCCTGTACTATTGTGAGCTTTAATGCTTTTGGTTTTTTTTTGGTGATGTTCCTGAAGATCAGTAGAATTAACGACTCCAGGAAGGCCAAAGTAGAAATGCTCAGAAACGCTGAAGTGGGGATGTTTTCTTAATGACATCACTGCCTTGCAAGATTGCTCATGGAGCGACCCTACCAGGTTCCTGTTCAGATAATGTAACTAACTAGGGCTCAAAAGGAAACACCTTTAACTGCGTGAAGTATTTCAGTTGCTTGATGAAGGGTTTGTTTCGTCAGACAAGCTAATAATTGTTGAAAAATCTACAAAAATCGCTCTTTTGTCAAACTCATTCCCTTGGTCCATTCTCTGAAAACGCCTGCCTTTTAGAAAACAAAATGTGCAGAGCGCTCTCCGCAGAGCTGTGCTGAGCATAGCCTTTGTGCTCTACACGGCCGCAGGAGAATGAGTTGTCCGATATCCCCCCTCCCAAACATATTAATTTGAACACCAGGTTTTCAGCATACGCTTAATTTTTTAATGGAAACATTTCTGAGCCTTGGTTTATTTATGTTTAGTTCTGCAAAAGGGACTTCCTTCTGTGGTCTGAAGAACCAAATTACCAAAGCCTGTTACAACCCGAGATGAGTTTGGTTGGTCTGATTCTCTTTTTCTTCCCTCGCAGGATTTGACAGGTGGAGCATTTGAAACAAACCTGAGCACGCTGAACTTGAAGGAAGGGATGGATTATTATCACTTTAACTGAAAACCAAGGTAAGGCAGTGATATCGAAGCTGTGTTATCCTCTAGGTATCTGTGTGTAGGAAGTCCAAAGTGTTCAGAGGTTTAGAATTTTTTAGTAATTTGTGCTTCATTAAATTAATCTTTGTGCTGAGTAACCCCTGTCTAAGGGAGGTCCTAGTTACACCACGGAAAATGCTATTTGCTCATTCTACTATTGCACATCACTCGTTTACCAAACTCAGTTTGATTGTTAAATTGTATTTCTAATTTAAATAACCATCAAATACAGGCCATAAGATTACAAGAGGACTGTTACCATAGGGAAGCCTTAAAAATGCATCAAGCAAAGCCTATAACCACTGGAAGTGTAAAGAGAGGTTTCTGTCAAACACTGCCGGGGGCCCTCAACCATTCCCCGCGACTGGCTTACTTCCTGCTACGGGGAGCAGCAGCTGGTGCTTGCGAGGTAAAGCTCTGCACAGGGCTAGTACTGACTCAAGTGTGGCATCCTCCGATTCAGGGCTGCGTGAAAAGTACAGTTGTGTCTGTAACATCATCTGGCAGCCAGATGATGGTATGTACAGACGCTCGCCATTTTCACTGGACTGTCTCAGGTTTTTTTGAATAAGCAGGCTTTACCAACACAACTTGTGTTTTTCTTGCAGCAGGGACCTATAGGTATAACTTTGCAAAGCCAACATCTTTGGAGAAAGTACTAGGAACTTCCATTTTAATGACAGTGTAACAACAGAGGCTGTGGGTTCAGTAGTGTTTCTTCTGCAGTAATGCCTGTAAGCAGCCCCTCCGGTGCGTGCAGCCACGTGGCCAACTCGGTCTGAGGCACAGTATGTGAATGGAGTACTGTCTATTTAGTAGTTAGTGAGTGGATAACACTGATCTACATTGAATTTCATTTGCCAGTCCAGGTTGCAAGTATACTTAAGAAGTATTGAATTATAGAATTTGCAGCTATCTATCTTCTTAAAAAGCAAAAAGACTCTTAAAAAGTGAGACAGGTTGTAGTACACCTGCAGTAGGAGATTGCTGCAGTTTGTAGCAGGTCCTTTACAGAGAAACTGTCTTGTTTATAGCTCCTCTGCCTGAATTTTTCCTTCCTTTCAAATTTTCATGGGGGGTGTGTGTGTGTGTGTATACACACACACAAAGCCACTGTTCTACTTGAAGTGCTGGGATAGTGGGATTTAATTAGAACCATCAAATAACACAGTGTAATTAGAATATCATGTTGCCTTGTGCTGCCCATCACATTAGTCTTACTAAAGAAGATAGATGTTTTAGCCATTTCATTTTCTAGTCAGTAAGAAATGGTCTGAATTCCTAGCAGCTGCTTGAAGCACCGAGTCACCTCTGTATTCTTCAAGGGAAAAAAAAATAAAGCTTCAGTCCTTAAAGCTAGTTTACCACAAAAACATTTGCTTGAATTAGTTATATAAAGAGCTATTAAGAGAGGCTTTGACTTTAGCTGAAGTGAAACCTGGATTTTGTTCGACTGTGACATAAGAATGACAGACTTAGCCACAGAGATGCCTTATGTTCAGGAAGATTTCATTATCACTAAGCGTTGCCATTCTTAACTCTGAAAAACGATTCTTTTAAGAGACTAACGCAGCAAGCCAGGTTTAATACTTCATGTGTGTACAGCAAGCTCAGGCTGAATGGCTCCATTCAGAGTTGCAGAAGTATAAATCACTGACATCAAAAAACCCCAGGTCAATTGTGACAGAAGTATGAAGAGAAACCGCCATCTTGTGGCTACAGATAATGACTTTAAAAACTGAAAACATAATGAAGCTTTGCTGCCTTCATATGGCATATCTGCACAATGCTTTAAGACATAATCTCTGCCTCTTATTTTGTTAACAGCGCACTTCGCAGCTCGTGCTGAGAATCCAGTTTGTCAGAATGCCGCTGCACAAACTCTTCCAGTCCTAATGGCACCCGAACCAAGAGCTTCAGTTCACAAAGCAGCAGCCAGCGCCTGCAACTTCATTATGCTGAACTCTACAAGAGAGAAAGAAAGAAGAGAGGTCACGTGGCGTAGCATGTATCGCTATTTTAACAGTATCCCAATCATGTAATTAAGCAAACTAAATGGAGAATATAGATGTACAAAGCTGTAATATTTACAGTTCTTTTTAACACCTTCATTTTTAACTACCCTTTAATTTGTACAAGTTTTAAAGGGACGATAAGTAAGCGTTGATTTCATGTGAAATTAACTTCATTCACCTTTCATAACGTTATGCTTGGCTTCCCCTGTTGTTTCTTCTCTGTTCTCAGGATATGCGAGCTCTTGAAGAAGAGCAGCAGTGTTGTGCGCTCTTGTGTGAGCACAAACTGGCTGCTACTGGGGCCATCTGGACAGCTGTGAAAACTCCTTCAAGTTCAGTGAGTATCACTCTCAGAGTGAACTCCAGCAGCTCTCAGGGCAGGTGCAGGCTCAACTTTTTGCTAAAAGTTATACTAACTATTTACTTACATTAAAAGAGGAGGAGGAGGTGAAGTTCCAAATTCAGCCACATAACTTCCAGATTTCACGTGATATATTTGTAACCATTCCATCTGGAATATCTGTATGTATTCATTGGGCTATTTCTTACTCTTTTGTTTATATCAGAGACAGTTTTCTCCTAACTTGTCAGGCTTCTCTCAGCCTCCAATAATTAAGGAGTTGAAATAAGTTTTTTTTGAGATCAGTGAATTCATCTTGTAACATCTTCATTTTGAACATAACATTTCTATTAGTTGACTAGAAAACCTTGAAACAGCAATGCTCAGGTCAACTTTTGCTCTGAAAACAATGCCTCGGATGGGCGAGAGGTTCAGGTTCTTGTTTTCCAAAACTACAAAAATGTTAGTCGCGGGTTTCTTAAAATTGTACTAAAAGCAGAAAGCTGTAGACATGTCTCAGTAAGAACAGGAAGATGAGCAGAGAAAACCGCTATGGGGACAGCAGGGTGTCTTTGAAGGTTATTCACAGATGTCTTAAGTATATTTAAAAAATTGGTCAGAAGGCTAAAACCTTTTAATATATGTATCTCAATGACAACTCAAAACATAGGATCTGCTTACATTAGGAAGCATCTTCAGTGTAAAGGATTATCAGAATATCACACAGGAAGAACTGGCTGACCTCGAAGACGTACACAATGTAATATCACAAAGAGCCAGTTCAACAAGCACTTTAAACATGCCGTTAGCTCAGATCACCTTTAGATGCTCTGAAGGAGAAAAGACTCAGTGACTTTCAGCCACAGATGCTGCGGCTGTGAAAAAGGCTAATGCAATTCTGCGATGGAACTGTGCAGGGCAACAAAATAATGCTTCGCATAATTCCAGTCATGAAAATAAACTTAATGGTGTTCAAATATTTTAATGAGAAAATGAAGGGAATGAAGATCCCCTCTGTTAGGAAAAACTTAGGAAAGAAGACTGCACGGGTGATGTTTCTGAATTCTAAACTAATTACAAAGGACAAAACTTTCTGAAAGTATGAAAGCAGAACAATGAAAATTACAAAGGCCAAGAATAAATTGATACCCCACTATTTTTAAGCTTAATCAGTTTACGGAATGGATTATATGCTGTGGAAGCCTGTGATATTAGGGAAGTAGCCGTGAGTCATCAAGGGTTTTCACCTCGTCTTGTAACACTCGAAGTAAAAATAATTTTTCTTCGTAAATTGTCACACATGTTCTCTAAAACAGTAATAATTTGGAGAGAGAGGAAAGGAACCTCTCAGAAACTCTTACCACAGCAGAAAATTTGGTATTTCTGAAATACTGAGCAGATGGGCAATTCCAAACTATCGGCATGAAAATGGAACGGGACCTACATGTGGATATAATGTCTGTCATCTTATGAATGTATTAACGTTTAGACTATATTCTTCCTCTTAGGCAGTGTCAGAACTCTGTGGCTTGCACAGCCGGCCACATTATCATTTCGTCGTTGAAATTGACTGGGGAGTTTTTATCCTCCTTCTTTCCCCAGAAAGGGCAGATGAACAGTTTCTGAAACATCTGTACTGTATTATTTCATTCTTGCTTTTTGTCTAAGTACGATGTCACACCGCAAGTCTGAAATGTTTTCGAGAACCGAGACTGGAAGAGCTTAAGACAACAGTCTTCAGCAATTCCGTATATTCTGTAGTAAGCCGTGAGGACGTTCCTCCTGGTGGACATTGGTACATTCATGCACCAGTGAAGAACTGCATCTGTTGCTCAGAAGCACACAGTAGATTTGGTGGAACAATTGATCATTACTATGTTTCTTTAAAAAAGAAACCCTCAGGAGCACATTTCCGTACTTTACCTTGGATACCAGCTGCGGTTTGGGCACTTTCATGAGATCACAGAGATAGTTGCGTTTCTCTCTTACTACTGGCAATTCAGCTTCCCTGCATGAGGAAGTATTTTCCAGTTAATTCAAAAATTAAAACCTGAAGTTGGCTACGTTACACACAACTTCTTAAGCTATCCATTTTATTAGTATATTACTATGTATGCATCTATACTTTCACGTACATTTCACATTGCAGAAGTTTTTGTTGTGTCACATTTCAAGAAAAATGTCACATCTTTGTACCCTCTTAAGCAAGCCAGAGAAACCATAATGTCCCAGACTATTCTTCTAGGTTTTTGTATTCCAAAACAAGTAACACTTACACATACGACCCTTTTGACTAGAGGTTCGCTAATTTGTTCTCTGAATTTATAGCTCCTTTTTGCTTTAGAAAACTTGATATCAAGAATTTAACTAAATGTCACTGGATTTGGAGAGCATCCTACAATCTATAGAAGCTTTCTCCTGAAATAGAAAATCCAGACCTAAAACTTGTGAGTCTTTTAAAAAGTTTCTGAAATAGCATGATGTCCGTGAGATATTTTCCTCAAGAACTGCCAGTTACAAAAAGCCCCCAAATGCCGAAAATCCATACAGGCAACATTCTTTTCCATCTTGTAAAAAACCTACCGCTCTAACCGGAATGCTGCGAGACTGCTAGTATTACTCACCAATTCAGTAGATTTAGTTTGTTTTTCTAAAGTAACAACTGTAAATGGGCTATTAAAAATTTAACTCTTAGCACATAAACGGAGTCCAAAACTACAGAGAAAAAGCATGAAGGGCAAGTTAGAAGTAACCTGAACTTTTTTTTTTTAGGCACCTTGGACAATTTGTCATATTTAATACCAGAAACCTTCTCGTAGCTAAACAAGAGTTATCGTTTATAGAGTAATTTGTTTACACTCTGAATTACACAATTGTATAATAAACTCTTTGTAGTTCCAAAAAGGAACAAATATGTGAATGCCAGTAATTATCGTCTTCCCCAAATATTAATTCTCATTTGGCTTCCTAATGTTAATGTTTACTGTAATTCAGAATTTACTAAGCTTGTTCTAGCACTGAGAGAGTTTGAGAATAACAAGCAGCTCTCTCTGACACTCAGCAAGGACTTCAAATATCTTCTTTTGTAAACAGTTCAAATCTACCAAGATAAAACAATTAAGTTTTAAGTAAACTAGCTTTTCATCTTTAATCTTAGCGCAACGGACATACTGCACCAGGGAACTTAGAGCAAGCCCTGAACTAAGACAGAACAAAACAGGCAGCCAGTCACACCTTAAAAATGACAAGGTGAAAATAAAATATTTAGTTTTCTGAAGTGGTTTTTCGGAACTATTTTGCTTTGGTTTAGTAACCCATTTATGAGTAGAGCTGTACTACCACGGCTTTTTCTGTAGCAATTTGGTGTGTACCACTTCTAACTTTGGTATTGTAAACATCCCTCTGACAGCAGTAATCTAATCCTACTCAATTGTTTCTGTTAACAAATTCTTTCTGTAACTTCTGAGCAAGCCTGCTCTTAAATTCAGATTTCATAAGCAAGCACTGACTCACACTAAACACAATACTAAACATCAATATGTAGTTAGCAAGTCATTTTAACAATAGGCAAATTGTTGATAACCGGTTCGTCAAATCTGAGACCATTATTCTAATTTTGTACTGGAAAATGGAGAAAAATAGCAGCAGCCACCCCTTTACAATGACAGACTTAGTTTTCTTTTCCCAAATACAAAGTTATTTAAGCTCAAGCACAGAAATAAAATAGAAATTAAACAACAGTTAAATAATGTAAGCATGCAGTCTGAAAACGTGTAAACCACAAACCTTAAGGTATATTTGTTCATTGAACATGTCTAGGTTAATTTTATTTCCATGAAATGTCAATGAAGACAAAAAGTCATTTAATATGATGACTAAATAAATTACGTATTTTTTGTATCTGTCTATTCTCATGTATTAACTTTGACTACTGTTTGAGGCAGGGGGTGGGGCTAGTAGGCCCATGAGCCAGGAGTCGTCTGCAACAAGGAAAAATGTTTAACGTGGCAGCAAAACAAATAAAGTAATTAGTATCTTAAAACTCCCTATTTCCTCAAACACCTGCGGCATGCAGTCTGATAAACTTCTCCAGGTGACTACAATGCACAATGCTAAAATTTGCAGAAGAGGAAAAAACAGTGCCAAAATTATGGTGAGTATTCCCCCCTCCTGTCACTGCAAGGGTGCGGACCGAATGAGTTCCTCCCGCCCTGGAAAGACACTTTGCTGCTTCGGTGAATCTTGCTCATGAAGAACGAGACCCTGTTCCCCCTGCGCTTGGAAGAAGCCAACATTACAGGTAACAGTAGGTAAAAAGAATAATTACATTATATAAAAGTGGTTGTTTAATTCACGCGATCATATGCTTGGGAAACATCTAAACTGTTCCAATTCAAAATATTTGCTTGAGTACAACGTTTGTAGCATTTTGAGCAATGACATTTCATGGGAGGTTTGAGCTGTTCTGCTAATTCTG